CCCCCTCCTACCCAGAGACAGGCCCAGAGGTTTACAAGTTTTCTAAGCTTTTGATAATGTGAAGCTCCAGGTTAAGAGGATGCTGTTGAGCACATTGCAGCTATGTAATTTCTGGTGTATGTATGTAATATTTAAGATTGGAAAAAAAAATCTCAAAAGCAAAGATATTAACTCTTAATAGAAAAAAGACAAAAAAAAAAAAAAAAAAAGCCAAAGCATGATGCGTCTTGTCAGCCTTAAGTGGGCTCCACACCTACGCTGTGCCAGGACCACCCAGGCAGCAGGACCTCGGGAAGGACAGACGGAGGTGGACCACGTGCCACAGCACCCCCTGGCACCGACTGGGTATCTAGAGACTCCCAGAGTGCCTGGGGGCTATGCTTCCCCATGGTCGTTCATGTGGAGATGTGAATGCCTACTGCTTACAATATCTGTATAAAGTGCTGTGTGATTAAACTTTTTTTACTTGCATTTTTTTGGGGGGGTGGGATTGGCTCATTAACAAGACAAGGTGACACCATTAAACCTGCCTCTGCCACTCAGCTGGGCTCTGTAGCCTTTCTTCCTCATGTACCGGTGTCCCTCACATTCTCCTCCCCAGGCAGGGCTTGTGGCAGTGGGTCCTGGATGCCCCCGGCCCGAATGCTGTTAGCATCTCCAGTCAGAATTCCCAGGGCTGGTAGGATCCGATGTTGAGTGGGTCAGTCTTCTTGCCTCTGGGCTAATGTTCTGGCTTAATGGGATTCCTGAAAAGCCAAGTGATGGAAGTTTCTGCCTCCAGATGACTGTGGTCCCCAGCAGCTAGACTGACCCATCCGGCCCCTTCCAGATCTAGGGAGCAGACTTCAGTGTCCCTGTGTCACTCCTGGGCTGGAAGCCCACATGGTTGTTCAAGAAGACTGGCATCCTCCCTTCCCTGCTTCTCTGAACCTCTGCCCGGCACTACTGTACAAGATGTGATTAAGGGCAGAGGCTAGAGTCTGGAGGAGCCTGTGTGCCCTCAAGGAAATTGCTCTGTCCCTCGCTCCTTGCCAGTTTCCCTGATGCCTTTAATGCATTTTCTCTTCCTGCTCACTCCACACAGAGCTTCAGCCAAATTCAACAGCTGGCTGTGGGGCACCAGAGCCTTGGTCTTCCTAGGTGTGGGTTCAGTCTCCCAGGCTCGGGGGCTTTAGGCTGAATGTGGCCTGAGCATCACTGCATAAGAAGGCTGTTTGTCCACCACCAAGATACTGCAACGTGTCGTGCCATGCAATACAGGAGCACCACTGGGCGTCACTTGACTAAACCCTAAGGCCCCGGCTAGAACGAGACCCCATTCCCTCCCTAGGACAGGATCAGCAGGCTAAGAATATCGCTTTATTTGGTCTTGATTCATGGAAGAGGACTCCCAGGACAAATGGGGCCACTGCCTTCCACAAGCAACTGACCCCATCAGTGGGGTTCTTGCCCATGCCCCATTCTGGCCTCTGATCCTCTCAAAGCATAGCCTCCACATTGCCACCCTTCTCTGGAAGAGTCCCCATCACCGCGCATGAGCTGCAGGCAGGCTATCCCATCCAGGGTGAGAGGACCCCGGTCTCAGCCTATGCCAGGAGACCAGGGACTGCAGGGCCCCTGGGGTCATAGAGGCTTCTTGGGAGATGCCTTCTGCTGGGGCTTCTGGGTGGGTGAGGCCTCCCTGGGGCCACTAACCATCCAGAGGTAGTCGGGCTGCACCTGGCCCTGCACAGCCTCAGTGATCAACAACTCCCCATCCACAGCAAACACGCCCCTCCCCTCCTTGCACTCCAGGCGGAAGGCAACCACGGGCACGTGCACCAGGTACGGGCAGTCATGCTCCATGTGCGTGCCGTTCTCCATGGCCAGGAAGAGGCGCAACAGCATGGTCCGCGGTACCCCTGCGCGCACATAGAACAGGTGCATGACACCAGCCGCACAGCGGCCCATGGGTGCCGTGAACATCTTGCTCCCCATGTGTGTGTGCAGCAGTGCCAGCACCAGCACAAAGTTCTGCTCGGGCACCACAGTCCAGTGAGAGGGCACTGGCTCGTCCAGGGGAACAAGGTGTGAGTCCACAGGGCCCCCCTGCTGCAGCAGAGGGGAAGTGGGCGTCTTGCTGGAGACAGCACTTTCTGTGGGGAGGTAGGCCAGTTGGCCCCGGTAAGCGCGCAGGTTCACTAGGCGAAAGAAGGTGCCTACAGTGAAGCGTTTCTCCCCCAAGCACCGATACTTCTCACTCTCCACATCCACATCAGCCACCAAGCCCCAGGCCAGGCTGAGCACAGAGAAGAGGCGAATCCCGGAGGCTGCATGCAGGGACAGTAGGTTCATGGGCGACAGGAGCCGGCGGCACAGCAACCGTGTGCAGTTGGTCAGGAGATCTTCATTGGTTACCTGCTCATAGCTGCAGGAGAAAGGTCAGATGGGGGCTGGGGATTTAGCTCAGTACTGCGACCGCCTGCCTCAAAAGTGATCGATCCTGAGTTCAATCCCCGGTACCACACACACACACAAAAAATCACACACACACACACACACACACACACACACACACACACACGATCAAAGGTCACATGGGACGGGGCAGCAGCCCCCAGGCATCCTCCCCTTCTGCTCCTGGGGAGTGAGAGCAGGCAAAACAATGTGTCATCCCCAGGCAGCTGTCCAGGAAAGTGAGAAGCGGCTGGAGCCAGCCAGGGTCACCAAGAGAAGACCCAGAAATGAGGACAGAGCTCCAGAAGAAGAGAGAATGGACAGTAACTCAGCCTATAGTAACCTGGAAAAGAAAACTTGGCAGTAGGGCCACAGAGATGGCACCGAGGCCCTGGACTCTCACCCAGCATAGTGATTCAAGGAAGCAGCCAGTGCGTTACCAGAGCCTCCTGGGAGGCTGCACAAGGGCTTTTGGATGGCAGTCTCCCAATCCGGCCGGTCCATGAGCCCATTCACCACCTGTCGGAGTAGGAGCGGCCTCAGCTCGAGCAGCCCACCCTGCCCAGCCTCCTGCAGCCTCTGGTGCAAAGCTCACCTCATGCATCAGCCCGTCCCCAGACATGATCACCAGCGCGTCCCAGCGGCTCAGCTCCTCCGCCTGCACCAGCTCGCGCGCGTGGTTCCGTCGCTCTGCGGGGAGACGTGCAGTTCTCAGGGCCAAGGAAGGCACACATCCTCGCCGTGTGTGTGTGTGTGTGTGTGTGTGTGTGTGTGTGTGTGTGTGTGTGTGTTGGGGGGTACTCACCAGTGACCATCAGCTTGAAGGAGACTTCAGCCTCAGCCAGAAGGGGCTGCACGAGTCTCTGGAACTGCTGCAGCGCCTTGCCCTTGCCGCCGCGAGGATTCAGCAACACCAGGACGCGGCAGGGACGCGGGAGCGCGCTTGGGGAGCAGCCGCCGGCTGGGAGAAAAAACTAGAGATGGCCGCATCCGCAACCGGCCACCAGGGGCTGAGGAGCGAGGAGTGCAGCAGGAGCACTGGGGCAGGTAGCATCCGCAATGCCTGGTGTAACTGACCCAATAGAGCCGGCCCAAGAAGCGGGGGGGGGG